CAATAGAAACATGTGGAGCTGGATTTTAATTTGTGTAATAAGACAAAACAGTCTGATTGTTTTCAACAGTTTTCACCTTAAAGAAACAAAGAAATAAGTTACACAACTGATGTTACAATACAAAGAGTTGGATGTTGTCTTGATATTTGTTACATTTTATATATTGAGAAATATGTAAAGTTTATTATTTAAAAAAAAAAACCACACAAAGTATCGAAAATTGGTGCCGTTAAGTACCGGTACTGATTCCCAGGTACCTGATATTGGTACCGAATCGATTCAAATGTTAAAGGTACCCATCCCTGTCCTTAAGAGTTCAAAACATCAAATATTTCACTTAAACTTTTATGCATCTCGGTTATTGTGTTACCTATAATTTACTGATGCAGAGATTTAATTAAAGTCTTATCTTTTCTTGAAAACATGGCTTACTCTTTTCCTTCATTTACCAGCAAGTTTTTAAAAAGCAGGTGTGACTTAAATGCTTTTAATGATCAATTTTTTTCAACTTAATACAAACAGAAAGGAAATTGTCAACAGTAGAAATGTTAAAAGGAAAAAATTTCAAATGTGCTTCAAAATTCAGGGTGTGAATAATTGCCAGCATGAAAATGTTAAAGGTACATTTCACACAGTAAGAAGAGAGCATGTGTGTGTGTAATATGTGCCCTAAAGATTTTACTGTATATTCAGTAGACTTAAATAGCATTCTTTTAAATAAATGATTAACCAAGCGTTCACTTCTGCTACATAATATCTTCATAAATAGATTTGTTTTTGCTCTACAGGTTCATCTCGTGCCACGCAGCACGTCGTCCGACTCCGCAGCGCTCCGTCCGTCACGCTGGCGCTCGCCATCAATCGATGTTTCCTCGACAGAAACCCTGTCCGCTTGCTGCGATTGGCCCGGAGGCTGAACTTCCTGCAGGCCTGCGCGCTGCACCGGCACCTAGCGGCGTGCCGTCGAGACCTGCTGCTGATCTACAGCCACGGGTTCAGCAGCCGCAACTGCCGCTTCCCTCTGGAGCGACTGGCTCAGGTCCTGGCCTTAGACCCGCCRCTGACAGCGCAGCTTTGTCGGACGTACGGCGTGGAGGTCAATCAGCACGACCAAGTGGTTTTCACAAAAGCTGCTTTCACTGAAGCTGAAGGGAGGTTTCAGTGCAAAGCGTATCACAGCATCGTGTCTGAGAAACAGAAAGACCTCACAATTCAGAGCATTATTCATGACTGCATTTAAGAGACGCGTGAATCCTGCTTCTTTACCAGCAGCCTGTTTAAACTACAGGATAATTATGAGTCTGAGATTTTGCAGCGTTCTACATGTTTTACATTTAAAACAGATGATCTTACATTTAGGTTATAAATAAACCCTTCAAGCTGTGAACTGGTTTTATATTCATTGTGTTCATTGGTTATATTGTTATGAATGATTTCACTGTTAATCAATAAAGGTTTTGGCATGTTTTACTGTAAAGTCAAGTATAAACTTATGACAAACTTCAGGGTGAATAAGACTTGCTGATGAAAGCAAAGAACTGAAACATGTCGACTTTGTTGCCTTTCAAAATAAGGGAAAAAAAACAATCATTTCACTTTTTTCAGCACAGTTTAAAGTTTTGTTACTGCCATGTTTCTGTGAAGTATTTAAAAATGTAGATTTTACTGCTCAGCGGTTTTCCTCTACAAGTCAGGATGACGAGCTCTGTTTTTTTTTTTCAGGATGTTTTTGTGTTTAACCCTTCTGCTTTGGCGTCTAATAGAGCTGTATCTTTATGAAAAATTTTTCTATGTAAATTGTTGCTTATTTTCTACTTTATAATTTCATGTTTCTTTCCTTTTATTGTATTGTAGTTGATGTAAAGCAGTAACTTTGGTTTCAAAAGGTGCAAAATAAACAGCATTTTCTGCAAAAATACAGCGGAGGTCGAGAGCTGTGACCGCTGAAAGTTACTGAAGAAGCTGAACTTTAGATAAAGCTAAAAGAAGCAGAACGCTAGCTAAAAGTACCAAAACACGCTAAAATGTTATCTAAAAGCCAAAAGTAATAAAAAGCCAGGAAGAAATAGCTAAAAGGGGTGTCTAATGTTGGTCCTGCATGCTTTACYCATTTCTGTGYTCTAACACACCTAATTCAGTGAATGAATGACCTCTTCAGGTTCTGCAGAGGCCTGTTAATCACCCATTTATTCAAATCAGGTGTGTTGGAGCAGAGAAACCTCTCAGTAGTGGCCGAGGAAAGCTGTGAATTATCAGAATAGCAAAAGGATGGAATAAGTATAAAGCAGATTTCTAACAGAACAGTTTTTTGAAGGAACTGATAAGCTTTATAGGGGGAAATAATTGTAAACAAAATGTCTTAAAAGTTTAAAAGTTACAAGTCATTGCACACAGCTCCTTTTCTTCACTAAATATAAAAATCTATTTTAAAAGGAATTTTAACAAATGAAAGATCCAATGCAGCCAAAATAAACCAATTTAAAAGGTAAAAGATAATAGCATTTGTTCTTTTACATATTGTACTGTTTCACTTATATGCAATGCAGAATGCTGGTCCCAGAAAATGATAATTTCTACAGATAAATAATCCTATATTGTTATTGTCTCAATATTATATTATATTAATATATCTCATTAACTTCATTTCAGATGGGGCATAAAAAAATAAAGTTACCTATAGGAGGCCAGGGGTTCACAAGCCATTTTTGTCTGGGGACCCCCTACAAGGGTGAAAAAATTCCAGGGACCCCCTCATAAACCCCAGGCTGTTTTAAAAGATAATTTATTGTCATTTCAACCCCTAAATGCCATGGGAATACATGTATATACTTTTATTAAGTTTATCATGTTTGTTTTATTAGTTCAATGTTCTCCGTGCTTTAAAAAAAAACAAATTAACAATTTAGTGAAATTTTTTCAGGACCCCCAAGATGGTACCTCTCGCGGACCCCTGGGGGTTCCTGGAACCCTTATTCGAGAACCTCTGGGGGAACCACTGGCCTATGCATTCTTTACTGACTTGTAATTGCGCCTATTGACCACTAGGTGTCAGCCTAAAGCAATCGTGACGCCCCGAAAGTCACCTGAGCGAAGGTAACTTTATCAACTGTTTGTTTGCTCTTTTCACATTGACTATCCTTTCATTTTTAACGTAATGTTTCACAGCGGTTAAACTTTAGCCGAAAAAAGTATCTTATCGTTACAGAAGGACTTCTTAAAATGACTTTTACTTTTGACTCTCTGGTTTTAGGAGCGGAAAAAACCAGCAGAGAAGAGAAGCAGCCAGAGGTGCGCGGGTTTCTAAAAGGTCAAACAAACAAAATGAAGTGGGAATCAACACACACACACACACACACACACACACACACACACAC